CCAGCTCCCGCACTTTAAAAAAAAAAGGAAAAGCCCCGGGGCCCATCAGCTGCTGCAGCGGCCTCGGGGCTTCTGGGGGCTCTGCCATGAGCGTGGGGGAATGGGGGCAGTGGGGGCCACCCCTCCCCACCACCTGGCAGCAGCTGGGGAGTAAAGGCTTTTTCTCCCCAAAGAGCCAGGAGGAGAGGCCAGGCGGGGCTGGGAGAGCAGGCAGGGGATAGGCCTGCGTGATTTGGAGATTCGGCCGACTCAGCAGAAACCGAATTTCTGAATCAGATTCGGCCAAATTGATTTGAGACAGAGATTGAAATCACTGAATTGACTAGCTGTCCTCTGAACCAGCTGAATCCGAATCCGAAGCGAATCCCCAAAGAGCCAGGAGGAGAGGCCAGGCGGGGCTGGGAGAGCAGGCAGGGGATAGGCCTGCGTGATTTGGAGATTCGGCCGACTCAGCAGAAACCGAATTTCTGAATCAGATTCGGCCAAATTGATTTGAGACAGAGATTGAAATCACTGAATTGACTAGCTGTCCTCTGAACCAGCTGAATCCGAATCCGAAGCGAATACTAGCTGCTTTGCACAGGCCTACTGCCCACGGGCGGCTGGGTACTGTGCAGCCCCCTCCCTCCCCTCCTGCACTGCCCCCGGGGTCTCATGCACTCGGGCAGCTGGGGCCAGGGCTCCCACCTCAGCTTCCCCAGGGCCTAAGGTACACGCGCTCTGCAGGCGCTTGCATTCACCGGTGGCAGCAGCATTGCAGCCCTGCAGCATGCCCCACGGGCTCTGGCCAGTCTCCTCGCTGAGGACAGCCGGTGAGTGCTTTGTACATCCCTGGGGAGCCTGCTCTGCCCCTGTGCCCATGCCCACGCAGCACCCCTGGCAGCGCAGTGCAGTGCAGGGGGGAACGCGTCTGACTGGGACAGCCAGCAAGGGGGGCAGGAAGGGGTTGAGGCCAGGTCAGGAGAAGCTGAGGATGGAGCACGTGTGAGAGCCACTTCGCCTGGCAGCCCAGAGCTAGGGGAGGCCGTGTGGGGAGGGGCCGGCGCCATGCACCTGGCAGGTGTCGATGCCGCCCTTCTTGTGGCCTGCGCATATGGTGTTGCGGTTGACTTGGCCCTCGTACCAGCCGCTGCCGTTGCACGTGGCATAGTCGATGTAGTGGACCTGGGCTTCCTGCAGGATGTCAGGCACGACTTCAACTGCAGGAGCACAGACAGCGTTACCCCTGGGGTGTCTGAGCCCACCCCGCACTCCCCACTGCCCTTGGCAGGGCAGCTCATCCCGCCCGCGCCCTGCCGGCGCTCACCTTCCTCCTTCATGTAGCCCCAGCCGCTGACCCAGCAGTTGGTGAGCTTGGTGAGGTCCACGGTGCGGTCAGGCACGCAGGCCAGCTGGATGTACTCGCTGCACTGGACGGGCTGGTCCAGCTCCAGCAGGGCGATGTCGTTGAGCTGCCCCTGGCGCTGGTAGTTCTCGTGCGGCACCACCTGCCGGTAGTTGCGCACCTGGGCCTGGGGGCCCAGCCTGGAGAGCTGCGTGGCGCCGATCACCCCGCGCAGCCCGAACATCTTCCTGCCAGCACAGCACAGCACGGCACGGCGCCGGCTGCATCAGGGCAGGGGCAGAGCCCAGGCTCCCCATCCCCATGGGGTCCTCCCACTCTGCGCATCCCCTCCGGGTCCAGCCCCGTCCCCAAACTCACTTGGTCTTGAAGCAGTGGGCGGCGGTGAGCACCCAGCTGGGGTGGATGAGGGACCCGCCGCAGAAGTGCTCGTAGCCGGTCTTGGTGCGAACCTGGATGCTGACGATCCAGGGCCAGGACCCCGGCATGGAGTCGTGGCCGCCCACAATCCGCATGTTGCCGTAGCTCGCTGCCAGGGGCTGCATCCCACAGTCCGCCCTACCGGGAGGTGGCTGTGCATCAGTGCCAGACTTTGCCCCCTGTTACCCCGGGGCTGAGCTGTGCCCAGCCCCCACACTGCCCCCTCCCAGGCCCGTGCCCCCCAGCTCCATCCGTGCCAGCCCCAGCCTGGGGTCACGAACCCGCAGGGGTAATCAGCACCCCGCACGGGGCCGGCCAGCGCCAGCAGCATCAGGAGAAGGGCAACCAGACCCATCTTCCCCGGGCGCACAGCACCAACTGCCGACCCACCGACCCGTGTGACATCATAAACCACGTCCTGGCTCCAGCCAATCAGTTCCGTGGCAATGTGACATCACACAGGGCCACTGGGTGGGGGTGGGGATGACAGCCCCTGACCCACGCCCTCCAGTCAAGGAGCCCCGGAGCAGGCAGCAGGGAGGGGGTGGATGCAGCCGCTGCCTGGGATTCTCCCACAATGCATTGCAAAAACCTGGTTCACCTAGCACAGAGATGGCAGGGCTGGCAGGGAGCTGTGGGGTCCCATGCAGTCCGGAGGCAGGACCAGCCCTGTCCAAACCCCCCAGACAAGCCCCGCGTCCGACCTCGGAGCCGCACGACACAGAGACAGAGTTTGGGGAGAGACGGAGATGTGTTCTGCCACAGAGGGCCCCCGCACCCGGCAGCCCCAAGGGCAACCAGGCAGGCCCCCCCCAGCACCAGAGATGGGGATGGGCCATGGACTGTTGTGATGTCACCTGGTCCCTCATGGGATGATGTCACCGCATTCCCATGGGGTTGCTAGGCGACCACGTGATGAGCCTATGAAGGAGGCTGGAATGGAGGGCACGTGGCCTCCGCATTGTGGAGTGGGGGAGTGGGGGGGCTGATGGGGCCCTGCTGGGGGCTGGACCGGGCGGGGGCTGCACCGAGGCCGGAAGCCCTTCCCCACCCATGGCTCTTGTCATTTCGGGGGCTTCTCAGTGACCGTGTGTAGCTGCCACAGTTCCCCTGTTCAAAATAGCCACCGCCGCCACAGGCGCTGAAGCCAACCGGACCAGAGAAGAACTTAAGGACTTGATAGACATTTGGTTGGAGGAAAAAAATATTGAGAAGTTGGAAAGTGGGAGCAATAAGCCAGTGTCTACTGCAATAGCAAAAGAAATGAAAGTCTTCCTCTGCAAATTCATCAGGGGGGCGCAGCAAGGGATCGGGGACACTCTGCTCACCAGGGCGCCTCTTGGGGTAGCAAGGGGCGATGGGCACAAACTGACAGAGAGCAGATTTAAGCTAGATATCAGGAAAAACTTCTTCACGGTGAGGGTGGCCAAAATTGGGAATGGGCTCCCAAGGGAGGTGGTGCTCTCCCCTCCCTCGGGGGTCTTTAAGAGGAGGCTGGATAGGCACCTGGCTGGGGTCGTCTGACCCAGCGCTCTCTCCTGCCCAGGCAGGGGTCGGACTCGATGATCTGTTGAGGTCTTTTCCGACCCGAGCATCGATGAAGCTATGAAATTACTCACTTCAGCATCCCAGAAGAGGGTGAGGATTGCAGCGGTTCAAGTTGCTGTGTGAAAATCCCAACATGGCTCTTCCTCCTCCTGGAGAGGCTCTGCCTTAGATAGTGAAGAGTCCCAGGTCCCTCAGCCTTTCCTCCTATGGTTTGCCGTGTAAGCCTGATCATGCGGGTTGCTCTTCTCTTGACTCTCTCAAGCTTTTCCACGTCCTTGTTGAAGCGCGGCGCCCAGACCTGGACGCAGTCGTCCTGCTGCGGTCTCACCGGTGCTGAGTAGAGCAGACGAGTCACCTTGGTTTTGCTGGAGACGCATCGATTGATGCACGCCAGAGTATTGTTTGCCCTGCTGGGTACAGCATCGCAGTGACGGCTCATGTGGTCTATTCTTACCCCCAGGCAATAGGTTAGGTGACTCATATCGTGTACGCCGTAACTTGGGGCAACTAAATTGAAGATGATGCAGTGTCACCATTGTGCTCTGGATTTTGCTTTTGGTTCTGTTCATTTCTATTTGTTGGTTTTTATTTATTTGTTTGTCTTGAAAAAAAAGGTTGCATTTTTATTTTTTTTTTGCTTTTGTAAATAAAAGGTTGTAATTTATATAGTTCCTTCCAGATGTGGTGTGTATTTTTCATAACTGGTGACTGTGGACGGTGGAGGGGGTGGAGGTGCTTCCTGCTGTTACCTGAATTATGAGTCGACGGCCACCACTGGGGACTGCGGCCGGGCATGGGGGCGCGGGAGGGGGTAGCTGCCCGGGTCGGGGAAGGCATCCGTATTTGTATTTATATTTCCTTCTTACTTTTTAAAAGTTATTAAAGGTACTTATTTTTGGTAAGAGAGATTGATTTTGTTTTAAACTGTGTTTCATATTGGTTTTGGGGGTTATATATAATATATTGAATCCAGGCATGACCTGATAAAAAAAAAAAATTTCGAGGAAAGATGTGCCACCTTTGAGAGACCATGGCAGTGACCGGGGGCACGGCGGGCTGCAGACCGCAGCTGTGCCTCCGTGCCGGACCATGCTGTCACCACCACAAGATGCCAGGGAGGTTGCAGTACAGCTCTGCACCATGCCGTGCACTCGCCGCATGCCCTGACAGCAGGGACGCTGCTAGCTGGGGGGGTGGGACCTGAAAACTGCTCTTGTCTGCACACACAACTATTTTGAATTAAATAAACCATTTTAATTTAATGAAGATTAAGCCCTATCACATTCACAAGTGTCCATAGACAACGAGGGTTGGAGGGACCTCAGGAGGTCACATCTCGTCCAACCCCCTGCTCAGAGCAGGACCAGCCCCAACTACATCATGCCAGCCGGGGCTTTGTCTACCCAAGTCCTATAAACCCCACCACCGCTCTGGGTAGCCTGTTCCAGTGTTTCACCACCCTTCTCGTGAGAAAATGTTTCCTAATATCCAACCTCAACTTCCCTTGTTGCAGCTGGAGCCCCTTGCTCCTTCTGTCATCTGCCCTCGCTGAGACCAGCCCAGCTCCATCCTCTTTGCAGCCCTCCTGCAGGGAGGTGAAGGCTGCTATTCAATCCCCCTCGGTCTTCTCTTGTCCAGACTGAATCAGCCCAGTTCCCGCAGCCTCTCCTCACCAGTCCTGTCCCCCAAACCATTTTCACTTCCCTCAGCTGGACACTCACTATTGTGTCTGTTGAGGGGAGACTTTCAGGGTGCATGGCCAGCTGCAAAATCCTTGCAAATTGCCCTCCCTCCCCCGCAAAGTGGGATGCAGCCCTTTTGTGTCCATCAGCCCCTGCTGACCTCCCCACCCTGGCATTACAACAGGGAAAAGGGCTGGTCACCTGGCAAGGTTTTATTCCTAGCGAAGGAAAAATAATGTTTAAATAGTAATACACTGGGTTAAAGAAGAAGCAAGAATCACTTTTCTTGTGCAGAAAATGAATAAAGGGGAGCGATGAGCAAGTACGTGGGGATGGGGTGGGGGGGCAGAGATGCAGTGTCTGTGCTGCATGACGCAGGGCCACAGTGACCAGGTCAACCATGAGCCCCCTGTGGCAGAAATGCCCCCGTCGGTGCCCCTCTCCAGAGATCTGTCTCAGCCAGCCTGAGAGGCTGCTGTTGAATCTCTCACAGCGGGGATCTCGCTCCTTGTCTGCAGACAAAAGCCTGGCGCCTGGGAGGCGATGCTCTGGTCACCTGGGCAGGGGGGGGAAGACCCGGCCCTGCGCGCGGGCCCAGGTAGCCAGGGATGCTTTGCAGATTGGACGGTTTGTAGCCAGTATTGGCAGCTTCGATTGGACCGGCTGCTGAGGTCAGGGAGGTTTTAAAAAGGCCTGGGCCAGGAAGAAGGGGAGCCATTATCCATGCGGTCATCCAGGTGAATCTGAACCTGGCTCTCTCCTCATCACCGCATGCTGCAAGAGTGCCCTGCCTCCAGAGGAAACAACAAGCACCTCTGGATGATGCGAGTGAGTAACCTACTAGAGATCCGATCAGATATTTAGCTTCAGTAACTCAGATGCGTGTTGAAACGGCTACCTCAGCCACCCTGGTTTGCTCTATGGGATTCCTTTGATATTCCTATAAGATTTCTTGATATTGCTCTACCTTTTACCCTGTTTCCGCCCTACCCCTGTAATCAATAAAGTTCTCCTTTGTGACCGGTGTGGGAGACTTATTGAGGGGTGGGTCTAAATTATGCCAAGGAGGCCCCTTAGGTCGGTGGACTAAGGGAGGCTTCCTAATAAGCCCCTGACTTGGGAAAGTGCCCCAAGTGCTTGTATTGGGTCTAGCACCCATTGGACGATCAGGCCTGTGTTTTCCAAGGTGCGCAGAGCCAGAAGTGAGTCCAGAGCCTTGGATGGTGGCAGCGGGAACCCCAGGCTAGCGGGTGTGCTCCAGGGAAGGGGTCAGCCGGACGGGAGGCACCCTAAGGGAGGCACTCGGAGCCTGGAAGGTGGTCGGGCGCAGGGAGGTGGGAGGCTCAACGCAGGAGC